ATTTGCCCTCTTTTTTCGTCCCCACCCCGGGCATTTAGACAGCTTATGTGTCCCCACCCCAGGGAATTTGCCCATTTTTTTAAAAAAATGCTAATGCCCGGGGGTTAGCCCGGGGGGGGATATGCACTGCTGGAATTGACTGATGCATAACATACATGACATTTTAAATGCTATTTCATACCTGACCCAAACTATGATACCTTAGCTTATTTTAGATCAGACAGCCAGACATTCTTTTAATTAATAAGTAAGCATTTCCTTTTCAATGTTGTCTTGCTCAGAGAATGGATGCATCCTGCACACAGAACCATTCAAGTGCTGTTTTCTTCCTAACTTTATCTCAGACGAGGAGTTTTTAAAGAGTTTAGAGAAAGATCTCCTTCAGCTCAAGTTTTATGAGAAGTCAAATGACTTGTACAAATTCCATCAGGTAATATTAAATGTCACATGGAAACCCTTCAAGTATGCATTTCTTAAATTGCTCAGATATATTAGTGATTTTTTTTTAAACCCTGATTTCACAAATTATGCTTAAAAAATTATGTTCAACATGGTTTTCTGTCATTGATTTTCAAATTATAGAGTGATGACCTAAAGAAATCAACCAAGTCAAGTATTGCTTCTATGAGGTATTAAGAGCTTTTATAATAACTTATTATGCAACTTATGTGTATACAATGTATGTGACAGATAAATTGACTGGCTACCAGTAAATACAAACATAGCTCCCCTTAGTTAGGTGTCTTGTATCGAAAAAGATAAGGAAGTGGCTGGAGGAAAGGTCAGGTGGAAAGTTTTGACGAGTGTGTGTATGCATGACTTGTGATATTTTTTAAAAGAGTATGTGACTGTATACCTGTATATTAGACCTTCAGGTAATTAGACCTTCAGTGATCAATCTAGCAGTGCTTCCTTCCTCCCCAAGTGTCCAACCAAGGATAGAGAACTCTCTTATATCCCTGGGGGCACTCCTATATAAAAAGGAAAGGGGTGCTCATCTGAAATTTTGACAAGAACCCCTAGGCTAAGAGATACCAAGATCCTGCTTTGTGGACATGGCTTGAACTTTTTTCACCCCTAAGAGGTGCCAATTGTAAAACAAAACATTATCTCTTGTCATATTTCTTTGTCTCAATATCTTAAAAGGTAGCGTGTCCTATATCCCTTTTGTTAGAGAATAGAAATCAAAAGGGCTCTCTTTCCTTGTGAATCCTCTTTCTGAGCCATCAGAGGGGCCTATCTTTACTTGAACCCCTCTTTAAGCACCTCTGTTTCTGCCACTGATCTGCAATGGAGTAAATGATATTTATTTAAGACACCTGGAAGGAAATGCACCAGTTTAGGTCCTTTTGACATTTAATAGTTTTATCTGAAACAGCTTTCATTCTACTGTATTAACATTTTAAAATTCTTTCAGGAATGTTTTATACAATGACTTCAGAGTATGGCTTCATGAGATGACCGGTTTTGTTGATCTGACTGATCAAGTGGACGTGTCCTGTGCTAAATATGAGCACACAGGTAATTAAAAGATGGTGTCAAATCAAGGTTTTGATGTTGATGTCATTGCACAATAGTTGACTCCACTCTTTCCAAAACACTGAGGCCAATTAGAGCAAAATTCTCCCAGGGGTTACCTGTGATGAACTAATATCCTTTCCTATGGGAACTTCTGTGGAAAACATGCTCAGGTTAGCCTATATTAGACTGGACTCATCTAGTGCACAGTAAAAGATACTTTGATAGCTAGTGGTATTTTGTCCCTGCTATACAATGTATAGCAGTAACAAAATGCCACTATTTTTAGTTTTGTGATGATAGAATATATGTAGTGGGAAATTATTAATAAATGATTGTCCTGACAAAGAACTTCAGTTTGTAGTTAGTAAATGAACATTTCTGTTTGTGATAATTAAAGATGTCCTTTTGTGTCATGACGATGAACTGGAAGGAAGACGCATTGCATACATATATTATCTCGTTCCACCTGACTGGGAAGAAAAGGATGGTGGTAGGTATTTTGTGTAGAATGTTTCANTTCCAAAAGTAACCGATACCTTTCACAGAGGGTCACAGCTTTCTTCTTTTAAAACTTTTGTCTGAATTTGCAGTTCAAACCGGTTACAGCTAACCACATGTCTTAGTAGTTCTGGGTATCTTAAACGAGTATCACATGTTAGCTGATCTATCTTGATTAGAACAGAATGATAGAGGAACAAAGGGATAAATCTTACTGAATTTTTTTTTTATGTTTACCAAACTGAGTAATGATTTCTATCATCTTCAATAAGGGTCATTTTAAGCAAGTACTAGCTGTATCAAGTTATCATTATTTTGTTTCAGCTTGCCGTGCCTGCTATTTCTCTTGAATTCACATGAATGGGAAAATCGTGGGTTTTGGAGAGTCACAGACTACGTTTTGTAATTGCTAACAACCGTGAAATGTTATCGCTACTTTCAAAAGGCTCATTTTTTTGCAACGGTGTGGGGTCCATTATTTCTTTCGGAATTACGCTAATCAGTATTGGGTCGGACAGACAAGTACAAACGTTGTTATGCAAGTATCTATAAACTTATTCACTTCTCCAAGTGTTTTATAGTAGATTTCTGTTCCGAGTTACTGTTTTCTATTGTGAGTTCCATAAATATTGGCATGCCTGTTCCCTTACAATAAACAGAACATGGCCAACCAGATCAGATAACAACTTCACTGGTTCCTCAGCGGAATTCCTTGGTGTTCTTTGAAGTGACTCCTGTTTCTTTCCATCAGGTCTGTAAATTGAAAGTTGGTGTGTATTGTTTCAAGTCAATACAGTGTATATACAGGGGAAGCTGTCTTAATGGACACTGTCCGTAAGCGGACAGCTCTAGTTACGACCGCCTTCACAAAACCGTGTTTGAACTCACATACAGACTCTGTACTTACTCATTCCCGTATGCAGCCGCGGACACTTTGAGGGCTTACGATTAAGTTTTTCCATTTGCTTTTAAGCTCTCGTAAGCGGACACCCGAGCGAAATTGGGCCTGACTATGAAAATTACTTATAAACATTTGTAAACTGCATTGATCGCTGCTTTTTGATGTTAATGACTCCTCTATGCTCTGCGACAGAGTGCACATAAGTTTAAACAACAACAACAACAACAAAAATGTCGATTTTATATTGCTGGCTGGCTTATAGCGCAAAATGAGTTCGAAATAAACAGATTTTAAAATTGAATCAAACTGGCAAAAACTCGAATGATTTGCGATCCATTTGTGCATGGGTGGCCTCAGTCAAACTCATCACAAGTCATCGCAAGTAAACAAAAATCAGTCTCAAGAAAGTTGTGTTTCCTACCTTAGTTAGAATTACGGTCACATTACTACATAGTGTGTGATCGCTCCAAGTAAGTTCGCCCCGACCAAACGTTAGATTACTCCACATGAGAAGTGACTTCGTTCCATGATGTGATATCAGTGAGCCGTCAGTTATGGTCCAGTGGGCTGTCCAGTGGTGCAAAGTAATCAAGTTTATTCAGGTTTGCTTAGATGAATACCCGTTTAACCAGTTTCTTACCAGTTTTATTTAACCCAGTTTAGGTCGCTGAAGTGTTATCGCTTAATAAAACACGGCTGTCAATCAGTGGATGGCTCCATGGTGATAACATCGAGAGGCCTGTTCCCTATCAAGAGCCACGCCCTAAATCATTTAAACCTTGTGCCTTGGAGGTAATTAAGCTATGACAGCCCTCTTTGCAATAAGTTGTACGGTCGTGCTGTAGACTTATCTGAGTACACAGTTAACAATTATTCCACGAGCGCGCGTGGAATGATATGTAGTTGTATTTAAACTTACCGGGAAAAATGAGTGCCGGCCAACCAATTTGTCTTGGTTACAATTTATGCTTTTACAGGTCAGAGAAGCGTGCACACTAATACGGAAATCCTGATCTTGGGCTTCCCAAAAATAAAATAAATAAATAAAAGTGAAGCCTCGGAGCCGACTGGCTCATAGCTGCCGGAGTTTATCCCGGTTTCTGTAGCATGAAGCGGCTAGGAGTATTTCTACTCTCCCTGGACGGGATGCTAGTCCATCGCAGGTCACTCCCCCGCAACTGATTTGTTAGGTTTCCCCAACAATTCGCCGGTACTCATTTATACTCCTGGGTGGAGAGAGGGACTGTGAGAGTCAAGTGTCTTGCCCAAGAACACAACACAATGTCCTCGGCCAGGGCTCGAACCCGGACCGCTCGTTCCGGGGACGACCGCGCCTCCACTCGTACTTCCCAAAAACTGTAAGGGAAATGGTTCCGATTCGACCAAGAGAGAGAGAGAGAAAAAAATACCTTTTTGTCTTTGATGTAAATCGTGGTATCTTTCTTCTACATTTTATGACGAAAAATATCCGGCCTGGACTGCTCTTGTGTTACAACGGCCGTTCCATACCTTTTTTTTTTAGGGCGAATACATGTATTTGTCATATCAGGTCTCATTTCTTTCTGGTGTCTGCTTTTTTTTTTGGTACTCAGGATGACGTGCTCGTTGATTGGGTCAATCCAATGTACCTGGATACAGGAGTGGTCAAAGACATAAGAACGCGATTTAAAGACGAATCTGAAATACAGTTACAAGAGTTTCTTCTGGTAAATAGTTGTCGCTTTTTAACAGTTAGACGACTAGCCCGAGGTTTTTACGAGCAGATTGTTGAAGAGGTGCAGCCGGGTTGACTATCGCTCGTAGAAAACGAGGGTGAGGAGTTTAAGACGGAATCCACCAGAAGTTCGAGTAACAAGTGGACAAAAACCTAGTACCAAGATTATTTACATCGTATTGCAAACTTCTGTACGACTGTTTTAAATATCTTCTCAAAAAAAATCGTTTCTAGCAACACCAAACGTCGAAAACGAATGTTGAACTTCATATGAAACACTTGAAAGTACTGGTGAAATAAAACTGATGATGAAATTTTACCTGTGTTTGCACAAGTTCTCTGAACTTTGAATTTATTTTCTCTCGTTCCCATGGGAAATTGTTTTCGGTGTTATTTCAGGCAATTATATATGTATTTAGCGTTAAGAAAATGTAAAAATGACTGTAAAATACTTAAAATTATTCTGGTAAAAGATTTTTGTCCACTAAAACCTGAAATTGCTTGATTTTCTATCGGATTTCGTCTTAATTATTTTACGCAGCGGCTGCATTACGCTGGAGAAATTTGAAAATGCAGCTTTATGTCTACGGTTAAGTCTACCGTCCACACTAATCCGTCACGAAAACGGAGCGTTTCGAAAACGCTCTTCAAACCGGAGGAATTTGAAAACGCCGCCTTTTCTTTTTCGTGTGGACGGAAAACATTTTGAAAACGGAGCTTTTCGTAAACGATGAAGTCGCGATAATCACGTGATTTCCCTGACCGAGTTTTCCACAAACACAAATACAAAATGACCGGTGATTGATGCGTTTTTAAATTTCTCCGGCGTAGTGTGGACGGTAAACGTTTGATGTGTTTTCATAGTGAAACCTCCGTTTTCAAATTCCTTCAGCGTAGTGTGGACGGGGCCCAAATGCAAGATGTTATTCCTTATACTGGCAGAACAGTTAGGATTTAGAAGATCTAGGAGACCTAGAAAGGCTTTAAAGGGGCGCGGGAGAAGAATAGGGGACAGTTTGAAGCTCCTTGATGTGACTTTTCTTGCTAAAGAAGGCGAGTGGGATGGGTGGGGGTGATCAAGACAAAGTTCCTTAGGCAGTTTGAGTCACCTTACATTCTTCATTCAATCACATCACGCATGTATGTACCCTACGTGTACTTTTTATTGGATTTGAATCGATCGAATCTTGATCTTTACGGTGTCTCGTTACAGGAGAATAAATACCAAGAGGTCCTGGAGGCGTTGCGTAACGACCAAGTAGAATGGAATTGGCAAGGGCCAGCTAATAAAAGGTAGAATTGCTCACCCTCTTTCGAAAACAGCATCGAATTGTGTGAGAAAAGTGATTTTATTTGGTTCTGTGGCATTTTCCTGTTGTGTGACTCTGTTGTGTGCACGTTCGTGTAGTACAGTTTATATTGTGGTTTATTGTGCTGGTGACTTTAACTTTACATATAAAACTCTTGTGTGTGACCATTCAAATCAAAACTATTGAGCAGTGCTTTCAGTTGGTAGTGTTTATAGTGCTGTACAAGGTGGTTCTAACCTTTAAGTCTGTGGATGAAAACCTAGTGTGTGACCATGCAAATGAAAGCTATTGAGCGGTACTTTCTTGTAGTAGTGTTTATTATGCTGTACAAGGTGGTTCTAACTTTTAAGTCTGTGGATGAAACCTTAGTGTGTGACCATTCNAAATGAAAGCTATTGAGCGGTACTTTCTTGTAGTAGTGTTTATTATGCTGTACAAGGTGGTTCTAACTTTTAAGTCTGTGGATGAAACCTTAGTGTGTGACCATTCAATTGAACGTTATTGAGCGGTACTTTCATGCAGAGTGTTTATTACGCTGTACATGTACAAGGTGGTTCTAACTTTTAAGTCTGTGGATGAAAACCTAGTGTGTGACCATTCAAATGAAAGCTATTGAGCAGTACTTTCCTGTGGTACTGTTTATTATGCTGTACAAGGTGGTGCTCACGTTTGCGTCTCTGGATGAAGCCCTATAGCTAGTGTGTGATAACTTAAATGAAGGCTATGGACGGGTACTTTCATGAAGTACGGCTTGTTTCCGAATTCGAGGACAATGAAAACTGAATTTTATTCTAATTTTGAACTTTGCCACCCTTGTGAGCGAACAGTTAATGATTTTAAGGACTGATTTCTAAACAGGCATTTTGAGTACGTTGCCATGGAGGCAGCGCCGGCTATCGTTCAACAGCTGACCAAGTTACTGCAGTCGCAGCCAATGTTCAAATTGCTCAGAACAATGACAGGATTGGAAATGGCTGATGTACCTCTCAGCGATGATGATGACGACAGTAGTGAAGATGATGACGATCAAGGAAGTAAGGTAATAACTGTGAAGCATGTATTGGCAACGTCCGTTTTCTTCTGAAATCATTGAAAATTTTTGTGCTAACCTCAAAGAACTAAGAATTGCGCTACTTAGTTTCATTGGATTATTGCTGTCTTCTGTTTGCATCTGAAGGATACCAATCAAAAGACAAACGACGCATCAGAGCGAGGCCCCTGTTGCCATGGTAGCATAAGACGCTGGGCTCACGGTTGCTATACGTTAGTTCACGACACTGATCCAGAAGGTGCGGAGTTTGCTTTGGACGCTTTGTTATACGTCGGCGGAAGTGGTAAGGAGCACAAAATCGGAAATATGCAGCGTTTTTACTCACGTGGCCAGCAGCCATGCAAATTTATTGGAACAAAAGAATTTACATAAGAAATGAGTTGAACTCCCACAGGATTGGTTTGGTTCACCAACATGGCCGCCGTTTCATTTTCTTGGAACGCCAATACGGCTGCCGTGACGTCATGTGAAAACGTTCTATGTCAAAGAAAAGTGGAGAAAATAAAACGTTGCTTTTAACTGTTCACTCACAAGGGTGGCAAAGTTCAAAAATTCACGGGTTTCATTTTCCTCGACAACGAAAACAAGCCGTGCCACATGAAAGTGCTCGTCATTAGCCTTTGCCCTTGTTGCCACAATAATTTGAACGCGATTCAGTAGCAATATAGAGATTTGAGCAAATCCTACCTTCGGGAAATTTCGGAAAGGTTTGTTATTAGGCGAACGCGCCTTCCCAACTTCGAACACTCTCCGGAATGGCTTCGCATCCCGTTCAAGCCTGATTTATTTTTTCAGGCTTTAATTTCACCACTGCTTAAGCTGTGTAAATAACTGTGATGATCAATCATGTCTTCACAACTTGTTCCGGATTTGTGGACAACCCTCAACTTTTTATAAAGACTTGTTATAAAAACGTTTTTAGGCAAAAGTTATGTTTTCTCTATTGCCATATTAGGGACCCTAATGGGGAGATAGCGGATACTTCAGTCCTAATGGTTTAGTTACAAGTACAGAAACACGAAATACGCCCTGGTTAAGTAAACTCTATGCACCCGTGGAAATAAGCAGGCTGTACTTTAGTTATTTATCATCAGTTTTAGATCAGTTATAAATATTTGTTTTCATCGTTACCCTCCAGGTTGGAAGACTGATTATGGTGGTTACATCACGTATTTAACAAGCGAGGAGGATGAAGAGGTAAATATGTAATTTATTTATAGGGAAATATCGAGCTTGTTGTAAGGCCCGGGTCTCGCCTGTTTTTATTTGGAGCGGCTGAGGCGTTCTTCGCGCCTGGCCGGCTGTGGATAACGCCTGAAGACCGACGTTTGGGTCAAACGCCGATCTTCACACGAGTCGAACCAAACGCATGATCAAAGGTCTAAAGGCGCCATTTTGACTTCACCTTGAAAAATCACCGACCAATAAGACCGCTTCTGTTATTTGTTTGGTGTGGCAGTTCGGTTCGACTGAAGTAAGTTCAACTTTTGACTCAAACAGGCGTTCTTTTAATTATTTGAGTCGACCCAAACTGTCATTAGGTTCGGCTCAGGTGAAGAACATTAAATACGTGTTTTTATTTATTTATTTATTTATTTATTTATTTATTTATTTATTTATTTATGTATTTGTTTATTTGTTTATTTATTTATTTTGAAGAGACTTTTCAACAGAATTGTTTTCTTTCGCAAAGAGCATGCAGAGTCTTCTAACCTTTAATCGAACCTTTATCTTTGGCATACAAATTGTATTTCTATTATTGATCGATCGGATATCATGTTTACTGTTTTTAAAATTCTACATACGCGTTTCCTCTACACTAGTGCATTGTGACTCTGTTTAGAAACTATCGCAAGATATCTGTCTCATAGATGGAACTCCAATAAAGAGACCGTCAAGATTATCAATGATGGATTGAAACAAAATTGAACTTTCAATGTCGCAAGTTTGAGACCTTATCTTCCTCACTTATTGCAATAAATGCTGGTTAGTTTGGGGAATTTAGTACAAGAAGACGGTATCCCTTACTACCCTAATTTATACTAGCGACATAACGACATAAACTCAGCGACATAAGAAGGACGTTTTGTCGTTATTTTTGCAGTAAAAACATCCTGACATAACGACATAATAGCAACATAACAGTATGAACATCACGACATAAGGAGAGCAACTGATATTTTCCTTATGCTTTTATGTTGATGTCCACATTGCGACATGAACTAATTTAGGTCTTTAGGCCATTATGTCGTTATGTCGCTGGTGTGAACTTTGCCTACCTTTTCGGTGAGGGTTTCTGTTTATATTGTTTGGCCTTCAGTTTTGAGTTTGTGCAGTGTTTGTGTAATCTCAAATTAAACTACACGAAACATAAGCAGTAAAATTTTTTTACTAGAGGTATTAAACACTTTGGTTAACCTTTAATCCAGCCAGGGTTAGCGTTATCCGGCTTTCGAACAACCCGGCCCAGTTGATTTCTTTCTGATAAACATATCTGTTAATTTTTGAGGAGTTCGATACTGTTTTTTTGCTAGTACTGAACAGGTTAATTGAAATTTCAAGCCAACTAGTGAGAGATTTTGATTGATAAATGAGGCGGTTTTCTAATGACTGTCGTAGATATAGTACCGTTGTTAGTAATAACATCCTGGTCTTTTATAACCAGCAAAAATTTGATAACCCCTTCAGCTGATCAAAGTTTGAGAAAAAGAACATGCAACCGTTAACCAGCGCAAGAAGACGTGCAACTAGTGCCAAGGGCGGGAAAAAAAGGGCGGGGAAAAAAGGACGGGAAAAAAAGGGCGGGAAAAACTCTTGCCAACCTTAAAATACACGTGAGACGTGCTATTAGGGTGGGAAAGCGCCCGTAAACCAATTCACAATTGGTAATGAGTTTGTTCCTCATTGGTTTAAGGTGCAGTAATTGATTTTTTTTTATCACTTCAAGCACATTTTGAGAAAATATTAACTGCTTAGCAAACAAAACCGAAGCGAACACATGTTTTCTGTTCACAGTCAATCTAGAATACCATTTGTCCTATCTGGAATGTGAAAACAACGTAGCTTTACCTTTTTGTGCTGTTTTTCTTAGCTTTTAACCGTCCATCCTCAAGAAAACTCGTTGGCGTTGGTTTACAGAGACAAGGAGACCTTGAGATTTGTGAAACACATTAACAATTCTGTGCTGACTGATGTGGGAACTGCCGAGAGAGACAATAACTTCTTTGACTTTTCCTTTGTCTACTTTGAATGACTTCTCCAAGTTTGGGCAAAAAGGAATTTGAAAAAGGTACAAACTTGTTGGTAGAGTTCGTTAGGGATACTGATAATTGTAAGAACACGATGAAACTACTAAAAGCGAAGACAGGTGTAAGTCTTTGTGACTTTTACTTAGTCGTTAGTTTGTTTTAAATAACGTCAACTTTTCCGAGCTTACGCTAAAAGGAATTTTGAGAAGGTACCAACTTGTCTGTAGATCTCATTGGGGATGCTGTACTGTTAATTGCAAGAAGGCGAGGAAACGTGGAAGTCTTCGTGAAAATCTTCTTTAAAGAAAGCACACAAAGCTCGAGAAGTTACACAATATTGAAAACCTTGAAACCTCGAATTGAAGAAAACCTGAAAATAGTAGTTCACTAAGATGGAAAAACACCAAAGAGATCATAATAAACCATAAAGGAACAAGGATGGCTAAGGATGGAGAAGATTAACACGGATTACAATCGACGAACTTGAAAAATTTAGGCTAAACTTTTCAAGATGCGCAAACCGTGACGTAGCCCCATTAAATCTCCAACAAAAATAAGGGCGAACGCTCTTGAGGGCTTGGATGACTATTCGATGGTTGGCCCATTGAACGTCGAACACAGCTATTTTCCAGGCGTCTTAAATTTATGTTTAAAGTGGGTATGGCTGAACGTTTTGGGCCCAGTTTGCAAAAAGTGCCAGAAAGTAAACTTCGATTGACTTACATCCTATCCAAAGGTAAAGTTTGCATACGAGCCAAGTGGCCCATCAGGCCGGAGCTTATCCCGGTTTCTGTAGCATGAAGCGATTAGGAGTATTTCTACTCCCACCTTGGATGGGATGCAAGTCCATCGCAGGGTTACCCCCAGCATTACGTTCGCCGGTTCCCATTTATACATCTGCGTGGAGAGAGAGGCACTGTGATAGTAAAGTGTCTTGCCCAAGAACACAACAGAATGTCCCCGGCCAGGGCTCGAACCCGGACCGCTCGATCCGGAGTCGAGCTTATTAACCATGAGGCCACCGTGCCTCCTACACCCTCCCATCCAAAAAGAAGGATTAATTACTCTAGTTGGTTCGTGCTACGAAAACCGGAGTCAAGCCTTACAGTAAACACTTGAGGAAATGCGAAACTGTTTCGTTCAAGAAAAAATTGTACCAGTTTAAGTTTTAAATCATCATTATAATTTTATTTTATTCATGTGAGCAAAATCTAAACATACTAGTTTGTTCTGTCAACAGTGTTAATTATATCGTACTACGGGAATAAACCAAACGATCGGAGGCAAATGAAGAGTGGTTTTCCTCTGAAAGAGCCCTCCTTTTTTTCAAAAGAATAGCGACTGACATCATTATTCCACAGTTTTTGCAAGCCTTACGAAAAAAAAAAGTGCGTTCTATTTCTAAAGATTTGACAACTTAAAACTTCCAAACCAGAGCATTTTATTTGTGGGGTACATCACACAGGTACCCTTGAAAAAGATTGTCATCCGAGAGCAGTTGTTGTGACAACTTTCATGCATTAATGTCGTTTTCAGTTTTGTCGTAACCACATTCGCAAGTAGCCAATCAGAAGCCGTGTCTACACTGTCCCGATATACTGCGATATCAAGTCACTGACCTGATTTGGCTATGATGTCATGATTACTTGGCTGAATTTGAGCACGGTAAATACCTAATCGTACCTTTTTGGCACGCTTCGACGGCAAATCAGGCTCGTTTGGTCTCGCGATGGATATTTTGGCTCGACTGCGTTTCGCCAAAATACGAACCATGGCTCGACTAAACTCTCCTGATATGCCGTCGAAGCGTACCGGCAGAAAGGTACAATGAGGCATATGTATTGCAAATAGCTATGTGATCACAGTTCTTGGTGGGGAGAATCTATGTTTGAATCACTAGTAGAAGTATCGTTTTCTTTCTCCTCTTCATATTCACTAAGCTCAATCCAATTAAGAAGGTCTCTCTCTCTGTCTTCTCCAACGCTTATCCAGCTATTTGCGATCCATTTGGTTCCTCGTTTCACATCACACCCTCCGTGGAATGTGTACTGATCAAGTTCTCCTAACCATCCAGTTTTATTGTCCACGAGGTGGTTGTACCAAAGTACCGCTTTCCCTCTCTCTGGTTTAACCACTACGTTTGCTTTGTAGCAATTCTTGGCTAAGTTGCACACGTTTTCAGCATCGCGGATCCACTCCTGAAATGTGAACAAGGCAAGCAAGAATTAAATGCGCAAAATTTTATTAATTTGCGGGCTATGCGTTCTTTAAATCAGTCGTTCGCCGTTCGGTCGGTCTGTCGCTCAGTCGTTCTTTCGTTCGTTTGGCCGTTGTTTAGTGGTTCAACTAATTAAGTTCGTTGGTTCGTTCGTTCGCTCGTTCAGTTTCTGTTTGTTCCACTTTTCCTCTTTGGTTCGTTCGTTCGTTCGATTGTTCGTTCGTTCGTTCGTTTGTTCGATTCTTGTTCGTTTGTTCCACTTTCGTTTGACTAAGTGGTAGGAACAACCTCGTTCCCAGGGTCTCTCATCTTACCGCCCCCTGGAGCGAGCGAAGAGAGACTCTGGTTGGGTCTGGTCACGTGCCACTTTGACAATTGAGAACATCAGGGAGGGGTCCTCTGTAATAAGCAGTTTGTCGCGTTGAGCTTTGTCGCGCGCTGCGACCGGCACCACATTACCCGCGGCGTTTATCGATACTTAGCTTTCAGGCTGAAATTTCGAATAATATCT